ATATATATATATATATATATATATATATATATATATATATATATATATATATATATATATATATATATATATATATATATATATAAATAAATATCATGTATATATATATATATATGTTGCAGACCGTAATGTGAACTGCAGCACACCGATAAATCGCCTATCTCATCATCAGCACCACACCAATGCGCTTCACCTACCATTGTACTCGAACTCCACCGTCGTAGTCACATTCATGGGGTTGAGCCCATCCCCATTGATAATTGGACAGGACATCTTATTCGACACGGAGAAGCAGTAGTTGATGGTCCCTCCGGGGGGCACCACCTGAAAGGCCTGTGAACAAATCAATCGAGACAGGTCAACAATGCATACATACGCAGTGGCACTGCCAAGAGTGACAGATGAACATTTGCATGCCCATGCAGCAACCATTGAAATACAGTTAGAGGTAGATGGGCATCGGCATGCGTAGTGCTTGTGAGGACTGCACTTGCGTAGGCGTTCAGTGGTATGTTGATGTCATAGGAGAGTGACACACACGGCTGGATTCTAGCTGACGCTTGCACCGTCGAGTTTATGAACACTCTCTAGGAGAAAGCTTGTATGGGCATATTGGGTCGAAAACAACGGCTTTACAGAACTGTTTTTTCACGTTAAGTCCAACGAGTGCATGTGCACATATACACGGTGTGACATGGCATGTATACCGTCATTAACACACATGGGAATTATACTTGGAAGCAAACGAAGAGCAGTCCCAAATGTTAAAACAGGTGCATGTGCATGTACTCATCTGCTGACTCGTAAATGAGAATAGGCCTAGATATAGGCCCCCCCCGACAGAAACATGTTCAAGCAACCCATCAGCTCAGAGTAACACCGGTCCGCCCGAAACCACAATTCAGAGTATAGGATGTATATCACAACCACACTCACCATCCAATACACAGACGCCTTAATATAATACGAACACCCTAGTGTGCACCTTCCACTCTCGGCACCATTCTTATAATATTCATAGAAATACTCCATTATTATAGAAATACTCCATTCTAGTAATAGATGTATATCTACCTGCCCCATAGACGCGGTGGTAATAGACATAGAAATACTCCATTCTAATGATAGACAAAGAAACAATCCATTCTAATAACAGATATTTACCTACCTGCCCCATAGACGCGGTGCCATCCCAGTCCTCACACTCCGCCGTGTCGTTGAGCACCTCCCGTGTAATAGACTTGACGGAGAGCATCACAATCTCATTGCTAGACACGTCCGGGTGCTCCTTGGGTAGGTAGCTGAGCTTCTGGCAGATCTGATCTTTCACCTTGTACACATCCGAGGCTTCTCTCTCCGTCGTGTATGTATCGTCCGTGTACAGCACTTGCGTGGTCTCAAAGATGTCTCTGTGTGCGGAGGAAACGGTTACAGTGTATATCTTGAGCAGTGGATAAAACATGAAATACGTGCACATACATGTGTGTATTTACATGTGCTGTGTGCAAACACGCATAGTGCCCCGGCCGATGCACCCCAAAGAAAACTCGATATGATCCATTACGCCCAGACATCAGGAGGACTACACTCATTCATTAGTAAGACAACCTGGCACACAAATGTGTACACACACGCATGTGCTCAAGTGCCTGTGGCGCCTAAGACTACATACTTGAACGTGAGCTCGCAGAACGAGTTCATAATCACATTCACAGCCACTTCTATGCTGGTGGCTGGTTCGGAAGGGCAATCGGCCGCCCCTTCCTGGCATTTGATTGGGTAGGTAAAGTGCGAGAGCCCGCCCAAGCGGCACCCGCTGATGTTGTATGTTGATTTCTGCACACACGGAGACGCTGTACAGTCCTCTGTGTGTGTAAGGGAGACAGGATGAAGGTAAGCATAAAGATGGAGTATAAGGTGTAAGGTATGTAAATATATGCATACATATATATATATATATACATACGTATATGATACATACATATAAACATATATGTATGCAAACATACATGCATACATACAAACATACATACATACATACAAACATACATACATACATACATGCATACATACATATATACATACATATATGCATACATACATACATACATACACATACACATACATATACATACACATGCGTACACAAATTTACATACAGGATAGACATACATAAATACATACATACATACATATACATACGTGGAATATAAACACATGTGCGTGTCTGTAATTCTAATATCAGACCTACCTTCCAGAGTGTAGTTTTCAGCATCACCTCCTGTCAGTGTATAGGGCGCTGGCACCCTAAAGCTAAGTGTAGCCTCAGACATATCGGAGTCATTGTTATTAGTCGTGATGCGCTTGATATCAACCATATTCACCAGTGAATACGCATCCTCTACCGCTATTGGTACCGCGCTGGTCTCGTAACATTGAGCCAAAATCTGATGTGTGGTTGAAATAAATGCGAGTGGAATGAGCATTAAAACTTGTATATGGGTATATATAAATACATATAATATACATACA